GAGGCCACGAGATCCTCGACCGTCTGGTAGATGATGTCATCAGCACCGATTTGCTCGGCAATTTCTGCGTTGGTGCGTCCATGGGCAATCAGATCCTTTTGCGATGCCAAGTCAATGCCGTGGACGTGGGGGTGGATGACCTCGGGCGAGCACGAGCTGAAGATGACCTTGCGAGCTCCGGCCTCACGCGCCATGGTGACGATCTCTCGGCTAGTCGTTCCGCGAACCACCGAGTCGTCAACAAGAAGCACGGTCTTGCCCTTGAACTCGGAATCAATGGTGCTGAGCTTGCGGCGAACGCTCTTTTGCCGCATCTGCTGTCCAGGCATGATGAACGTTCTGAAAACGTAACGGTTCTTGACGAAACCCATGGAGTAGGGCTTCCTGAGGCGCTCCGCCAAGGCTGCAGCAGCCGTGTTGGAAGTCTCGGGGATAGGGATGACAACATCGATATCCTTGACGGCCTCCTCGCCCAGTCGAGCGATGATGTTGTCAGCCAACTTAATACCCTGGCGGTTGCGTGACTCATGGACACTGATTCCATCAATGACACTGTCAGGCCTTGCAAAGTACACTTGATAACGTCAGCAGGTTCCAGCATCATTTCCAATATTGTAGCTTCTTACCGTATTCAAAGATGTCAGGGCTGTATGAAGCCGGCTCCTGAATCTGGTGGAAAACAGGAGGGCAGCCCTTCTTGAAGAGAACAGCCTGTCCAGGCAAGACATCGGTGATGTTCTTGAAGCCCAGCTGGCGCAGAGCAATCGACTCCGATGCAACCATGTAGTCGTAAGCGTCGTCATCAGGGTTGGGAGTCGACTTGCGAGAACCCCAAACCAGAGGACGGATACCATCAGGGTCTCTGAACGCAACTACACCATAGCCGGCAACCATGATGACGCTAGCCCAGGCACCCTGAATGCGCTTGTAAGTGCGCTCAAGCGCGCTGAACAGATCCGTCTCGTTGATACGCGCCTTTCCAGTCTCATTAAGCTCGTTGGCAAAGACAGACAGCATCAGCTCACTGTCACTGCTGGTGTTGATGTGCCTGTGAGCGTCCTTGTCCAGGAAGGCACGGAGCTCAGCAGCATTGGTGAGGTTGCCATTGTGCGACAGGCAGATTCCATAGGGGCTGTTGACGTAGAACGGTTGAGCTGTGATCTGCGTTAGCCTCTCAAAGGCCGTGAGGTGTCACCAGCCCAGCTTTGTTCTGACCTTCAGCACGTCCACTGCTTCCCCAGGTAGGGTAGCGAAGGTGACCAATGCCCATCCATCCAGGCAAGTCAATAACCCTCTTGCCGTCCTTGAAGACGGTCGCTGCCATGCCAGAATCCTTGTTCATGAAGATTCGTCCTCCATAGGAACTGCTGGTGTCAGCCAAAGCCTGCAATTGACTAGGCGTCCTTGAGGCTCCCTTACCTAGTCGCAATACCGCAGGCGTCTTGGCCGCGGTGCTGAAGAAGGTACATGGCTTCATGGATGTCCTGCGCAGCGTCGCAGTTGTCTTCATCCCGGTCATAATGGCCCATGCAGATTCCAAGAATTCCACACATCTTGCCTTGCTCTTTGCGGGATCTTGCGGGAGATCAGTGGTTCTTGAGGTCGATCCAATGCTTCCGTGTTCAAAGAAGCTTGGCAAACGTTTGCGCAGAAGGAACCAACGTAGTTATGGGTGTTGGTGTTCGAGATAGCTTCGGTCGTGGGTGGTGGCGGGGTATCCGATGGCGGGGTATATTTTTTTAGTTGGACAGGGTCCACGCCGTGTTTTCTTCGTGTTTCGGACTTAGGAAAAAGACAGTCGGGGGAACGAGGCACCACGAGATTTTCGGGACGAAACAAGCCGGCCTCTTCGAGAGAAAGTGGATTGGCGCTCGTACTTCGACGAGGGAACGGTGAGGCTCCAAGAGGGAAGAAAAATATTTTCGACAAATGTCGTCGGCGAAAAGCAATTGGGGTAGGAGCAGAAAAAAAAAAAATTCCTCCAACAGTCGCAAACCTTCAGAAGGAATGAATAAGTGGGGCCGATTATCGGTGCTCCCAACCACGCGGTGGGAGCGGCATGTGCGGCAGGTTGTAGGTACCCACGCCCCGGATAAGGCTCCGTGTCAGCGTTCCCCGTGCTCCCTGAGGGCGCTCATCGGATTCTTGTCGAACCCTTCTCTCCGTAGTAGTGGACCTCTTTGTTGGCTCCTGTGAACCGTTACTCCAGTCAGCCTGCATCTTGAGGGATTTCGCCCTCCCACCGGTTCAACCGATGCATTCCGAAAGCCCGATGTGGTTGCAGGCTGAAAAGGGTAGGTCCAGTGACGGTAGCCACGTGGTGCATGACCTACTAGGCCTTAGGAGATAAACTGGAGGGCATGGAACCCGTGAGGGTGCACCCCAATCTTGGCCGCATGCGGTGTAAATTGGTGGCACTGAACCATAAGGTAGGGATTGATGGAGCTGGCGAGGGGAAACTGGCGAGGCAGTCATACTTCATGCGCCATCATTGCCAACTACGAGCCTCAATGTCAAGCAATCATTGATACAGTCGACTTTCTCTAACAGTATACCTCACCGAGTATATATCGATTCAAATACTAAACAGGCACTCTATTGTCTTATTTATACCATACTTTGTTGCGTCAGGCTTAGATTTGACTCTTGTTCGGATCCCCTTCGATAACAAGGTACGGAGATGGAGCTGGTGGGTAAGGGGGCATTTGAGTAAGATGTGCCCGAAAACCACCCAAGGTGGTAGCAGCCTTTGTGATATCTCGTTTTTGTCAATGAGGTTGAGTCTGCATGAGCCACGCACCCATCTTCCTGCTTCTTATCTTTCGACAGAGACAATGACACTGTTTCGTTTGCTGGAACGAGGCTTTACATTCTCGGACCATTCTCCGTCAACTGGACATGATGAGACTAGGCACTCACATTTTCCACGCCGGCAAATATCTCCCACCTGTGAAAAGAAGAACCCTTAAGTCGGTGACCATGGGAATTCATGACATGTGCAGATATGTGGATTTCCTCAAACGATAATTTCCCTGCGGGAAGTCGGTACGACTCTCCAAGCAGCGGTGAGGCATCTGGAATTCGGTCAGATGATGCACCGCTACCTTACTATCGTTGACATCGCATTTCATTTTTCTTCCAGCTCTATGTAGGTAGCGTGTGGTATGTTTTTCTCACTTGTAGGCTCAAAGTCCTTGAAAACTACCAAATACCCAATCTATCAGCAAACCATAGTATGTTAGACTGCGTGAGGTGAATCGTGATAGAGACTCGCAGTCTGAGCATCCTTTATCGGGGATGTTTGTTTAAACAGAAATCGGCTATGAGCATATCCATAATCGAGAGCTTCATGCCCATGCACAACGATTTATGCAACAAGTGGGTCGTATCCTGGCTAGACCCTTGGTCGAACGCCTGGTCTAACGGGCAGTGGGCACAGATCTGGTCGTTCTCAAATTGCCCCGGGTGCGTGGTGCCCAACGTTCCTCCGTAGCTCGTCGATCAGCGTCTTTCCTCATCAAAGTCCCCTTCCAAGGATGACGGTCCCCTCTGATGCCTCTCTAGCTGACAATCTAACGGAAAGGCCCGTGGGATTGTGAGGAGGGGGAGGGGGAGGGGAAAGTGATGAAATAGGATACTCGGTGGGCGGGGGTTTGACAAACACAATTTCCTTGGGTAGGGAGGCCAAAGACACGTCTCGAGACGACGACGTCGAGTCGAAGTGAGGTGACAACGGTGGGTGTCGCATTGCGACGTGCTCGGTCGGTGTTCAACTTGTTTGCCTCACCAATGTCGCTGTCGTCGTCGAATCCTCCGTGCCATGAGTCTGTTGCTTTGGCCGCATGTTCCTGAGACTTGGCGCGGTGTCAATCGCAGTGACAGTTGCAAAGACGCAGCGACGATGGTGTACGCACCCGCGTGCGCACCGCAGTGCGCCTGCGGCAAGGCGGCAAACCATCCCAAGCAACCAAACGTCCTGATAGCCTTTTGACTCTGTAAAGGCAGGAATCTCGCATACGGTTGACGGTAACGGAGGCAATCAGGGGTGGGGGGCCTTGGCTACTGTTAGAGATGGCACATACGCCGACATGTTCCAGACGTTTTCCATACTATGGGCCCAAGCAATAACATCGATCATTTTTTTCTCGGCAGGTTGCGGCGGATTGCAGTGTGTCATTCGGTTTGGGCATCTCCACTGATTGTCTCGTTGCGACAAGCTGATGGATTAGAACGAACGGGAGGAGGGCCTCTTTGCCCCATGAGCTCCGTTCGTTGGCATGGTCACCGGTGAGCTTTCCCAAAGCATCACAAGTTTCCTAGGTTCCAGAGTCCCAGAGTCCCAGTACGGATACGGGAAGACTGAAGAGAGGGGGCCAGAAAAAAAAAGCTCCAGTTCCAGCTCCCCGTGTTCGGGTCGAGCTTGATCGAGAGCTTCGAGGCACGCTGGACAGGGCGCCCTGTTCTGGTTGGCGACCCCTTGTTGCCTCGGCCGGTTGGCGATGTACGCCATCATAAGCCCGTGGTCGACTTTTGACCCAAGTGTCTGGTAATTGGGCATTGCGGCGAAGGAGAAACCAGCCGAGCGAGTTATCCTACATCGACAGACTTTTGTAAGTTGGTGGCTTCATCGGGGAATTGCTGAACGTTGAACGGCGAGTTACCAGCAGCACTGCAACGTCACCTCCTGGCGCCACGCATCGTGCTGTAGCAAATTGTAAGTGCAAAAGTGCATACGTCAGGGGAGTTACGGAGTATGTTTTCCTTTTTCTCGATACCTTAATCAACAAAAGATTGGCAAAGTGCTCTCGGTTCTGCGTCAAAAAGATCCCCGAATGCCACGGAGGAAGGTCCTGAAGTTCATCACCGCGGAAGCAGGTACAGTGCTCATGTAGCTCCCTGCCTTTTCTGGGCTAGAGCCGGCAGGAAGGCAGGAAGCGCCCTCCACCTGCATTCTTTCCCTTTGCGCCCAGCGCGACATGTCATCATTCGACATCCAGTCTCTCCGAAGCAGGAGGCAGGCAGGTACGGATGCTCCCCTCCTGATTCCCTTTCCCGCAACCTTCCCGCCGTGTTTCATCATTTCTCCTGGGTCACCGAAGTCAACACCAGGCTGCTGGGAATCTGGGCTCGCCCATTCGCACATCAATGTCGAGCGCCAGCCTGCCAGGTGGGCTGCCTCCACGTTTTTTGCTCCCCTATGCCTGGTTTTTCTTGTTCCTGACTTATGGACGTGCCCACACTGACGCGCTTCTGGCTACAGGATCAGGTTCGCACCGACAATCCCAACCCTGCCGACGTCGCCTCTACTGTCTATCGGAGAAGAGGTCCAAGAAAAGGAGGAGATTGTCAATTGCTGGCTGTGCAGTATGGTTTCGGCTGATATCACTGCGTCTCTGAAGATCGGATATGAGTGTATGTCTCTGGAGTAGCTTGTTCGCCAGATGACATAATAGGCAGTTTGACGAGACCCAGACCCCTTCGGCGGCATCGCTGATACTTCATCCTCATTTTCACCGCGAGCGAATCAAAAAACGGTATCAGGCAAGCAGGATGGCTCTTCAGGGCCGTTCCGCAGGCCCCGAGCTAAGGTAGCACTGGGGGCAGGCAAACGAGCCGGCGACGAACAAGGGCACATGGCGGATACCAATAAAGCATGTTGGTACGAACAGTAATACACCGTATGGATACCTACTCGATACTCCGCACCACTGGCTTGAGTTGAGGCTTGAGGACGTTTGGATTTTACTCTGCTTCTGTACTAGCAGCGTGTGGGTTAAGTTATATGAGTGTGTCGGCCAATGCAAAGGCTTATTAACCCAGCGTCTAGGGCTCAACGGCGAGACATGAAACGACGAGAAACACCTGCACAATTCCCAGCATGCAGGGTGGGTGTTCGCATTTCCCAATTCCACCCCGAGGTGGTGATGAGATTTGCAGATTTGAGAATGGAACTCGTACGCATTGCCACACGTACCCGTATTCTACGAGCTACCGCGCTTCATCGACAGTTTATTTCACGACTACCGCGATAGGCCCGTCGCTACCTCAGGCGCATTTTTGAGTTACTTGGCCGGATCATCAGCTCTCCCCACCATTTGGATGCTTCCATTCGCCTTCTTTGCCCCTGGCATTGTCAACTAGTAGCATCCAATAAAGCCGAGGGCGTTGATGCAGCAGTAATCCACCAATGCAAGGCGGGCCAGGTACCGAATACCTCCCACACAGCCAAATGGGAAAGATGTGCTCCGGTACCTGAACATCGCGACGCTGGGATGCTTGACAGCGTAATTGGACACACGGGCCTGGCATAATTGGCCCTAGTAGGCGTTTGCCTGCTGTTTCGGGGGCTTGTGCGAGCAGCCAAGGTCGCGCCAGATCCATCGGAGGCGCTATGTATGCACAAAGCTAAGCAGCTGGCCGTCTTCTATTTTGTGTTCTCAAAAAGCGACATGGTGGTACGGATACCGCCCGCGGTGCCAATCCAGGCGTGAGGCCCAACGTGCTTGCCAGTCAGTCTCGGGCAGCCTTCGAGGTTAGTATTTAGGCCCTAAGGTGGCGCCTCCCGGCCCCCCGGCTGATCTACTGGTTGGCGTGGACAGTTTCTCATCGTCCCCTTGCTTCTTACCTCTTTCGCACTCGTTCTGCCAGCCGGTGCCGCTTGTTGCACACCACACGATGAGCTGGCTGCTGCTGTCAAACATGAAGACCCGAGGAAAAGGAATAGGGAGAGAGGAACGCGGCAGCTGTCCGATGACTACCTAGGCAGCGTACCTATCCATACAGTCGAAGCTGCTACACAAGCGCACACCGCTGACCTGGCTCGTAGACATCACAGTACAGCTGCGGGCTCGAACTCGTTACGTCCTGCCAGGTCCCGGCTTTGGTTCAATCGCGTCAATGTCGCGTTGCCGAATGAAGCACCTCAGTACAGATACGTACCGATGGAATCAAACGTTCAGCTCACCGAGATACCTCCTACGTATCCAGATAAGGTACGGAGGCGTGGGAGGCAAAGCACGAGGTGAGGTTGTGGAAAAGGACATGGATACGTACCTGAGCTACCGGCTAGGAGTCAGGTACGTAGTGTGCCTGAGCTCACACCAAGGTGACCAAAAGTGACCAAACGGACGGACATGAGCTGCATCCACTTTCCACCTTCCCCGAGCTTGCGGCCCCCTTTTTCTTTTTAATATTTTTCTCATTCAGAGGTGCGATGTGATGGTGATGCTTCAGTCCATCCACCACTACTAGAAACACCATTTTGAGCTCGGTTTCATGGCTTGAATTGACAATTAGCCAGATGGAGACGACGAAAAGACACACTGACAACCCAGTGATCCTTTGCCCCGACATCTTCAGGAACTTGGACCTGGACCCCTCCGATCACTCCCGCCACCAAGAGACCCTTTTTCCTGGCTTTCAGGGCTTCCAAGTGGCACTAGCATTGGTGATGAGCAACAAGCTCGCGGCAGCTCGCCAGGTTCCCCTTTTCTCCTGCTCTCCGTGTTGTGCGAGAAGTGGAAACGAGGCTTTATGCGCTTGAACCACTTGCACCATCCAACAGCGGGCAACCTGACACGGATGATAGCCTTTTCCCTTTCGCAGACGCGGGATGCAGGCACGCAGGACAAGGCCACTTTCCTTTTTACCTTTGGGTCTCCAGTTTCTTCCACCCAGATCCGGCCGTTCAACGTCTTGGATTCAGGGTTGTCTTGATCAATCACCGTCTCAACCTCAGCGAGGCTGGGGACCAGTCACTGCCAGTTTATCCGTACACTATGATTCCCCTGGTTGCCGTTGTGCCCGCATCGTTCCCCTCCTGGTCCCCTACGGCAGATTTCCAAGGTTTGCTCAGTTCCTAGGGTCTCCCTCTCATACTCGTCATCCAAATGGACGACGAATGCACTGGTACCGACCCGGACTCTTTACGTGTCGCGACGAGACGACACACACACACTCTCACGCACACATGAATGTACACAGGTACTCCGTACACAAATACCAATCGTTTCCTGGAGCGCATCATTCACCAGACGACGAAGACCCCCGTCCCAGCCGGCCCCAACCAGTGTCGTCGAATAAGGCTGCAAGATTCTCATCGCGGAGCTCCATTCTTGGACCTGGTTCCCCGTCTTGCCCTGCTGGGCGTGGCACGCTACATGCGCGTACCATCAGGAACGTTACGGTGTACGCTACTTTGGCCTGAGGTACTTGTCTCTGCCCACGGATAACGAATGTATGCGGTCGCGGACTCGCAGCAAGGCACGAAACCACAGGGACAAGATGTACACCACTTTGGCCCAGCATTAGGCAAAAACTGTTTGGCCCTGTGGCTGTTTTGCTGGCATATCAAAACACAACACATACACAACAGGCACATTGCATTACTGCGCAGCGCCGAGGTGCTCACCTCTTATTCAAAGTTCCTCCTGCACGTGCCCCGCGCCGCAGAGGTATTACTCCAATCCAGAGTTTGTGTCTTGATCCGCTGTTGAGCCAGTTGAAGAGGAGTCACTTTCGTCTAGGGCATCATCCAACGGCGTGAGCGGCTTGCTCCCCGTTTTCCTACCCTGGTCGGTCGCACCGTGCCCCCTTCAACTGGCCGAGGTATTCTACACGGATCGTTCTGTCCGTGTCGTTACTTGGCACCCTTCCGGGTACATTCCTGCTGGCTGGTGCGGCTGGTACTCTGGAGTTTGGTGCTGATGCTGATGCTGATGATGCTGACAGTGTTGCTGCCGTGGGCTTGCATGTGCAGAGTTGCTTCGCGGGCACAGCCTGGTGTTATTTTCTGCTCTCCGTCTTTTCTCGTAGCCTTCGCGGCGTACGATACTACGGTGGTGGTCGTGGTACCTGGTGATGCCGCCACTCGCAGCAAGTCTGCAGCACATCCCATGTCTAGGGCTACCTGATGAACATGTATCCGTTGACAACTGCCTCGAAGCGGATACATACCAAGCTCTATCGGGCAATGACCTCTACGTTTCTGGGCCATCACTGCCGACCGCCCCGGCCAGAGATACTCAGTCGGGGCTACGCAGTATGCCAGTTCATCAAGCATCGCCCGCTGCCCCATCAACTCACGTCCCATGAGTCTGGATTGGAGTGAAGATGGGTTGAAGGACCTGCGCGGTGTGCGACTGCGCATGCGCGGCGGCGTCCCCCCCGTCGTCTTCCCGTGCGACGGTCTGTATGTCAAGTTGAAAACCAAAACAAGAGACGGGTCGACTGGTGTGGGCACGATGGAAGAGGGGAAGAGAGGAACAGACATATTAGACAGGCCGTGAACCGTGACGGCGGGAGGCGAGACCAGCAGAAGTTTGATTTTCCAATAATTCAATTCCATCCCAGGGATCCAAGCACCAGGCGCGGACGAGACAACCGCCGGAGAGAAAGGAACGAGGAAGAAGCAAGTCTACACAGCGGCCACTCGCAAGTGCAACTAAACGTCCGAACATAATCAAACCAAAAGTCGACCCTGCAGCCGACGGCATCATTCTCCTTTTTTCTTGCTCTTCTCGACTTAGGTACGGATACCTGTCTCTGAGGTGGTTCTCGATTTCTGGACTCTGGCTGGTACAGGTTTGTCTCTCATCACCTTGTCTTTCCTGCCTGCTCCCACTGGCACAGAGAGAGAAAAGATACCTAACAATCCGTACCTATCCCTACAGGTCAAGTCAGGTTAGGCCAGTCAGGTACCTCTCGCGCGCGCGCACATACACACACCATTTCTCTCCGTGGGCACTCGCACACTGGAGCGTCCCTCTCTCGCAGGGAAAGAAAAGAGAGACAGATACTGGCACAACTGGACACACACACACACACACACACACGCACATTGGCACACAATTCGCACACAAACATTAGGTACAGGCTGACCCTGGTCGCTGGCTCCCCCCTACCTAGGCTTTTTTGGCCGCCCCAGGTCCCAGGAGACTCCCAGACCACCACCATCACACCCCCCCTTGCCTTTTGCCTTGGACACACCCTTCGAGCGCAAATTGGCCCGCCAGAGCCAAAGGGCAAAAGGGCAAAAGGGCAGAAGGACTGAGAGGGAAGAGTAAAAAAAAAAAAAAAAAAAAAAACCACGACTGGCCCCCCCCCGAAAACCATTAGCGAAATTGGGCCCCTATCACCAGTACCCTCTCCTTCTACCTCTCACCCCCCCGGATTCATTCGTTCATGCTAAGAACGGGCCCCCGGCCATTTCTCGAGTCGACGGCATAGTGGCCGGCTCCTCGCTCCATTTTACCACTTACTCCCGGTCAGTTGAAATCAATTTCCCTTCTATCTGCACTGCATTTCGTACCGCACTTTGCACGCCTGGGCTGTGGACTAGGGGTACCTATCTTATTACGGGAGTACCTCAGATCCCTACGCAGAGCCACAGAGCCCAGAGGTTCCTTTCCTTTCCCAAGTTTCCCACCCCTCGCCCTCTCTCAAATCCTCGTCTTCGCCCATCCCGACGCGGGTCCGCGGTGAATCACTCTGCTGGATCGTATGTGGGTTTCTGCTCTCTCACGCCTCTCTCTCTCACACTCAGTCTCTACTAAGGTATCCGTACTGCGCAAGGTACCGTACCTTACCTTACTGGTGTCTGTCTACCTTACACGGTACCGTACCGAAAGGAGTACCTTTACACTCTCACTTTCTCTCACACACTCTCTTTCCTCCCCCGTCCCGTCCATCCATCCACTCGACCCTCGTCACCCATTCATTCTTGCTCTCCCTTTCCACTTCCGCTCGGCTTCTGGCTCCCCTCCTCTCCCAAAGCTCCCTGACCCATTCCTCTCTCATCTGCTTCTTCGTCCCTCTTTTTTTTAACAACCCATATGCGTCGCAGTTCTCGTCCAGCTTTTGCTATCCAACAAGCAGAGCATCCATCAACTGCCGTCCGGTCCGCGAATGCTGCATTGCATTTACAAGCAGCCTGCTATTACTTGAACTGCATCCAAGCATTCACACCACACGCATTGCGCAGACGGGACAGCAAAGACTAGATCGACATCCAACAACACCACCACGGCCACCCAAACACCTCGTGCGTCGATGCTCATCTCTCCCCTCGTCACCAGCTTCACAATTCAACGCGGTTTCCAAAAGACACCAAACCAACAAAACCTGGTCGCCCAACCCCCCTTCCACCTTCCAAGGGTCGCTTCCTCATCATCGCAATCTCGACCCACGCACCCGAGAACATCGTCTCCTCTGGATATCCACGTCTGAGGATCCATCCCCGATCGACTGGTTCTAGCTCCATTCCCACCCCCTGGACCCTTCCCTGGCCCTTTTAATAATATCGACCACCTCCTGGCTTCGCCCGTCCCTCGTTGTCTCCTCTTCTTCATCTGGTTTCGCTCTCTTGGTCCATCCCAGCTCAGTCATTCTCGCTTTTTTTCTATTTCCAACATCAACCTGTTCCCCGACCCATTACTCGCGACAACATCCGCACAAAGCATTTCCTTACTACAACTTTCAACACTTCTTCAACCACACGCACTACCACTACCACCACTACCAACCCTGACTACTACTACTACTACTACTACTACTACTACTACTACTACTACTGCTACCACCACCACCACCACCACCACCACCACCACATCACCACATTACCACCAACAAACACTATCATACTGGGAAAAGCTACCGGTCTGAATGCCACAGGTTTCGCAAGCGGCTCTCACACAGAGCTCCTCCTAGTTAGGCACAGCATTGGTACGGTCCAGGCTAATACGCCTGAGAAAGCGGCCTTGGCCAGCTGACCCGCCCCAGGAACACCGTCGTCACGAGGATCTTGACTGGAATCAACGATCACGTCCACACAACATAAATCACACAAAATGACGGTCGCACACGAACTGGCCCACAGAGGCTCATCATCACACTCTGCCAACAATATGGCTCTCGAAGACCGATTCGAGGTCCTCAAGGAAATCGGTGATGGTAGCTTTGGCAGTGTCGTTCTCGCCCGAGTCCGTAGCGCAGGTGCTAGCGTGGCTCGTCGCGGTACGGTGGTAAGTTCCTGCATGTCAATCCCGTTACACCACACCAAAGTCACTAAAACATCGTCTAGGTTGCCATCAAGACCATGAAGAAGACTTTCGAGTCATTCACGCCATGCTTGGAGCTTCGTGAGGTCGTCTTCTTGAAGACATTGCCCAACCACGCCCACCTCGTCCCCGCCCTGGACATCTTCCTCGACCCTTACACTAAGAAGCTGCACATCGCCATGGAGTACATGGAGGGTAACCTGTATCAATTGATGAAGGCTCGGGATCACAAATGCCTCGACAACGCCAGTGTCAAGAGCATTCTTTTCCAGATCATGCAGGGCCTCGAGCACATCCACGCACATCACTTCTTCCACCGCGACATCAAGCCCGAGAACATTCTTGTCTCCACCTCATCCCACCAAGACACCGTCACATCCTTCCGCAGATATTCGGCTCTCGTCACCCCCCCGTCTACGCCTCCCAATTACACCGTCAAGATTGCGGACTTTGGACTTGCACGCGAAACCCACTCAAAGCTTCCCTACACGACCTACGTTTCAACGAGATGGTACCGAGCACCCGAGGTTCTCCTGCGTGCTGGCGAATACTCCGCTCCCGTCGATATCTGGGCTGTCGGCGCCATGGCAGTTGAAATTGCAACACTCAAGCCACTCTTCCCCGGCGGAAACGAGGTCGACCAAGTTTGGAGGGTATGTGAGATCATGGGAAGCCCCGGAAACTGGTACAACAAGTCTGGTGCCCGTGTCGGTGGCGGCGAATGGAAGGATGGTACCAGGTTGGCCGGCAAGCTGGGCTTCTCATTCCCCAAGATGGCTCCTCATGCCATGGATACGATTTTGCAGCAACCTCAGTGGCCCGCTTCGCTGAGCCACTTCGTTACGTGGTGCCTGATGTGGGACCCCAAGACCCGCCCGACCTCAACACAGGCAATTGCTCACGAGTATTTCGTCGATGCCGTTGATCCCCTGAGGCCGAAGTCCTCTGCATCGAGAATCTTGGGCCGCAAGCAGTCCGATCTTGGCCGCGGCAACAATTCTAACTCATCTACCCCGACCTCCACTAAACCGTCCTGGTTCAGGAAGTCCCTTATTGGCCGCTCCGAAAGCGCCGAAGTTGCCGTTCCTCAATCAATCTCCAAGGAATCAACCCCGAGACCGTCCCCCGTTCCCTCGCAGACGACGAACGAAGTCCCCGTTGCAAAGACGCGCCCTGCTCAGTCAAAGCGCACGACATGGACGAATGGTCCATCCAATGTCGCACCTATGCCGATACTCCCTCGATCCGCCCCATTTCGCCCATTTCCGATGCGGTGACTGCCGAGGCGAGAAACGGTGTGACCTACAACGATTCGTACGCCAACGGTCGCCAGCGCACTGTTCAGATTGACGAGAAGAAGAAGATTGGCAGACAATTGTCGGTCGCCTCAAGCACTAACAACTATGCCGAGATTCACCGCCAACAGGCCGAGCGAGCTCTCAACGGCAACAGTGGCCTTGCATCACCGCCCGGTGGCCACAAGGAAAGCTTCTTCTCGCACCTCCGCAAGCGTGCCCGTCGTTTCTCTGGCAGGCATCAGGCCCCCATGTCACCTAACTCGGACGATGTCGAGGCACAGGCCGGCTGCGGACCCTGGAACAGCAACCGGTCCTCAATGGTGATTGATAACAACGCGCCTACTCCCCCGCCGAAGCCTACGGAACTCTACGAGCCTCTCGATAAGGCGTTAAGAGATGTCCAGCAGAACCACGACAATGCTCCTGTCCCACCGGCACACCTCATTACTCCCAGCAGCACTTTGAAGAGACATCACTCTCTGCCGCAGCACCACCCGCGATCTGTTGACAACCTGATGGGAGCTGCCAAGGGAACCGGACCAATTTCGAGCCGAACCCGTCGCGCCCACGCCCACGGTGTCCAGCACTACGACGCGCCCGATGAAGAGGATGAGCTACTCGATGAGGTTTTGAACTCGACCCACCGAGCCATGAAGCGCCTCGAGAAGGATGGAAAGCCTGGACTGCGGCAGTCTGCCAGCAACATTGGCATTTCGAACCCGTACCCGACTCCGTCCCCTTCGGCCAATGGCAACAACTCTGTGTTGTTCGGCGACAACCACGAAGCCGTCGCACCCAAGCCTTTGGATCTGAAGAAGTCGCATGGCGCTGAAAGTCAATACAAGTGGCCCACTCCCCCGTACGAGGAGAGTGAATGGGCTGCATCAGCGTCAGCCAGCATTTGGGCGGCTAGCAATCGGTTTTAAGGCGGAGCTGCCTCTGAAAGAGACCTTCTCACAGAGCTGAGCAGATACCATCGCAAAAGTTCTTTGTGTAATCACTTGCATGGGGTGGGTGTTTGGCGTTTGCCGGTGTGCCGTTCTCGTCCTCCGGGTTGGAGGCGAGTTCGACTCCGGACCTCGATTTTCTTTTGCCCAAGATGTTTTGGAGCAGGGTGGCATTTCGACTATTCCACGATATCTTCGATACCATAGGGCGGCATCTTTTACGCCATCGCGCAAATTTCTATTTCTTTCTGCTTTTTTCCTTTATCGACTCGTCTCTTTCGAAATACCCGACACTATAGACTGGATGGGCTGCCATCGGTGCCCTATACCAAAGATAACATTTCTTTTGTTTCTGGGGCTCACACGGGCGAGAAGTGGCAGTCTCCCAACCGGAAGAAAATGGACACGGTCCAATGGGGACTGGGGACAAGATAAGGGAGGGTCAAACATGGTCACACATTTCTGTACGAGGAAGGACAAGGGCACACTATCTTCTAAGATTCTCTGCGGGCTGGACACGTCAGACGAGTTTGAGGAAAGCCAAATCTGGCCAAAGGATGCCCAACGGATAGTTTGTCATATATGGACCGCGGAAAACACAAATGGTATACATATGGGCAACCCTGTCAACACTACTCAAAGGCTGAGTCTCGCGATTGTTTACTCGATCGCGCGGAAACTATCATTTTTATATTTGGATTTTTTGAGGACGAGGCGGAATAAAAAAAGACATATAGTCGAGAGGGGCGGTGGAATGGAAACTGTACGTAGGCGGACGAATTTTTCTTGGAAGTCCTGCCATTACCATACTACATAATATCAAGATGGCATCCAAGCGATGTACATCGATTACGAATCACGCTCATATGATTTTTTTTTTCCGTGTGAAATTGTGAGAACAAGACATGTATGTCTGTACACTATGATGACTATGTCTATGTGTGGGAGTGTGGGCTTGGGAGCATGTGAATGAACGTTGAGCTTCGAATTGACTCTGGGCTGAACCATCAGACGATTTAGACGCGCGTGCGCGCGGGTGTGGCGTGGGTTTGGCGCTTTTTTCCCGCGGCCGGTGAGCCGGCCCGGTACGGATGCGCCAAAGGTTGGAAGCAAAGAGCCGAAGCTCCTCCCGTCGGGTCAGGTCACTTCTTTGTCTAGGTATGGAATGCTGGAGCTGCGAGCTGCGGGCTGTGGCGAGCTGAACGGGGGCAAGGCAGGGGGGGCCGTGTTGGGTCCTACACTGCGCAGTCAGGAACGGAAAGAAGTCCCTGAGGTAAATTTGTTGGCGGCCGGCGGGATCTACTGCTGCTACTGCGGCTCCTGGTCTATCTTGCTGCGGCCTGGTTTCGGGGGCTGGAGGATGGAGCTTGCATGAGGGTAATAGGATTTGGGGAAGTACCTACCTCACGGAGGACGGAGTGGTAGAGCAAGGGATGGGCAGAGAGTGCCAGGGCGTGCGAGGCTGTGCTTTGATGGGGTCTAGGTACACCGTGGCGCCGTTTGAGATACGGAGGCGATAGTTTGGTTCCTGGTGCTTTCTTGTTATGAGGTTATTCATTTCTTTATTCAACGCCTCGCCCTGGTGTCATCCGTCTTAGATTTGCAGAAGTAAGGCGGATGGATGTGGTATCTTGTCCCTTTACTGTCTTGGGTGGAGAAGGAAAGGATTGGTCTCCCGAGAGTTTAAATGAGGCCAGCCTTCTCAAGCTGCTTAGAGTCCCTCCGCACCGGTTCTAGGGCACTGGGAAACATATACCGAGAGAGGCGTCTCGTGAAAATACTTGGGTGCTATTAGGTAGTTTGGGTATGGCCTGGATCCGGTATAGGTCAAGGGCCCTTATTAGGTACAAAAGGCCTTAGGAGAATTGGCCATGCCAGTTTACATAAGTCTGTAAGCACTTGGGAAAGACAGTCGTACAATCAGACAGATATTTCCAGGAGTTGACTCTTGGGACCGCCCTCGTGCACCAATCGATTTACCACTGGTTTGGCGATGGGGCTTAGAAGCGACTTTGATGGTTAAAATTGTATTTTCGCGGTTCTCGGCGCCGTCTCTTCGGCGTTCGTGCCCGAGCTCGAGGTCGGCAGCTCCACTATATAGACTCTCATCTGGTGCTGCGAGTCTGCGTCTGACAGAGAGGAGTGCATCAAGGGCAGGCCAGAAGACAATGAGGCACCTTCAGTCGACACGAGGACGTGCGGTGTATTGCGAAACCGCTTTTCGTCACCGCATACGTTTTCTCGTGAAAAAGTCGATCAACAGGTGCCTGAAATGGCCGATCTTTTGGGATGACTGACGAAGCACACTACGACGACCTCATCCCAGCATTGCGTGCCAAGCATGTGTATCGGGAATTTTATCCCGGCCTCGGGTACCGACTCGGTCCGGGTCACATGATACTGACCGCCTCTTAAGACTGGACCTAAGGTAAGGTAAGAATTCGCTTACATCAGCAATAGCCAAAGCACGGTACTTCCTCCAATTGCCCAGTGTCGCCCTGCGCCTCATCAGCGCTGAGCCAGTAGGGAGCGCTGGCGAACCAGCTCAAGAACACGCTTTCAGCCCTTTTTACTGCGAGCTAAGGACGTTGGTGGGGCAGTGTTTGCCTGCTTCCTTCCTCTCTGTCTCTGGCCCTCAGGCTCGCCCTATTCCCCCCGCCACTCGACGTTAGGCTGGTGCTTGAACCTCAGCTACGGAACCTTGTCAACCAGCACTCGACCAGCCCGCGCTGTCTTCTGCTTCATCTCATTCCATCCTTCATCAAAGGAAACCAGGAAGTCGATTAGGCAGCAGAATACCTGACGGGAGGCTTGAGATCTACTCACGCAGGGCCCCCTTTCAGTTTTCTTCAAACGTGGCCCAGGTGGGCTTTTCTCGTATCGACCAAGAATCCAAAACTTTTGTCGCTTCTGCTCCGTCGTCATTACTGGCGGGGTGTCATCCTCTGCTGCTGGAGCTACTGGACCTCGCCAACTCCCGACGCGCTGCACTGGGCTGGCCCGACTCCAGACCTTGCTGTCACCTCCCTCCTTTTTTCCAACCAGCGCGCACCCGCCCACTTCAGGACTGAACCCCTCCTCCACCATTGCACAACCCCCACGATCATGTTCCCGTAGCCTTGCTTTGCTGTCCTGAAGAGACGATCAACGCCCGACTCTTGTCTTTTGCGCACGATTCCCGACGACTTTGCCATTGCTCTCGCTGACCGACTTCGCTGCCGGTCCGTCTCGCCCCCTGCCGTAGGTCGCCAGCGAGGGCTTGTCCCGTTCGCTTTGTTTCTTTGGCCATCGGGACTGCGTCCGCATAGTATGGGTATGAGCGCATATCCCAGCCGGATATTGCCACCATGAGCTTCAACCTCCCTCTTCGCCCGAGCTCCAGCAGCATACGAAACCAGGCGAGCCGAAGCACCTACTTTAACAACTACACGCCCAATTCCTCTACCGAAGCCATCAACGGTCCTCTCAGGGAACCTGCCAGGGAGCTCTTTGGCACCACCGATCGGCTGATTGTCGGCGTCGATTTCGGAACTACATTCTCAGGGTGAGTCGCATCCATCCCTATGCAGCCTCACTTTACTTTTCGAGCATCCCAAGTGTGACCCTTTGCCTGCCTGAGCCAACGCCAACTGTTGCACTCATTCTTGAACCCCTCACTCCTCTGATGCTCCATGCGCACCTGTCAAAGCATTGACGACGTTACCCGAGCCCTGTCCACCTGGGATGACATGCTGACATTCACCGTAGCGTCGCTGCTGTTTACACTTCAACGCCAGACGATGTCGAAATCATCAAGACATGGCCGGGCGGGAACGGCATCACCTCCGACAAGGTGCCTACTGAGATCAGCTATGACATTTCTGCGAATGCTGCCGCTGGCACCGATCCCACAGTGAAATGGGGATTCCAATTCAAGCCCGAGGAAGCGCGTCTTCGCTGCATCAAGCTGTTTCTCGATCGCTCGCAAAAGCTACCCTTTTATGTCAGTCCGCTTGACACGGCGGCCCAACTGAAGCGCTACAACAAGAATGTTCTGGACGCTGTAAGCGACTATCTAACACAGGTGTATAAGCACACCATGGACACCCTCACTCGAAGATACGGCGAGTCCTTCATGCAGTCTACCAAGGTCGACTTCGTCTTAACCTGTCCCGCCGTGTGGTCCGATGCAGCGAAGAACACGACACTTCAGGCGGCTGAACGAGCTGGCATGGGGTTGAAATCAGAAATTCAGATGATCAGCGAGCCCGAAGCCGCGGCGGTGTACACATTAAAAGCCATCCAGCCCAACCACCTCAACGCCGGTGATAACTTTATCGTGTGTGATGCTGGTGGTGGAACTGTCGAGTAAGTGAAGCCGTAACCGGCAATCGATCAAGGGAGCACGGCTAATGGTTGATCTAGTCTGATCGCGTACAAAATCATATCATTAAAACCGTTAAAGGTAGAAGAATCTGCCGTCGGTACCGGTGGTCTTTGCGGCAGCGCGTTCCTCAACTACAGGTTTGAAGAACATGTCCGGAACAAATTGGGCCACAGTCGTTTCGACGAGATGAAGGTCAAGAAGAACAAAACATGGCAGATGGGCCTAAGGTATTTTGAGGAGTTTGTTAAGCGCAACTTCAATGAGGACGAGCACCAGGAAGTAAATGTGCCGTAGGTCTACCTCTTGGTTGTTCAAGATGCAAAACATTGCGAAAATTCTTCTAACTCGGTACAGTTTCCCAGGCTTACCTGACGATGAAGAGGCTGGCTTGGACTGCGGCTTCATGGTCATGTCTGCTGATGAAATCAAAGAAATATTCGCCCCTGTCGTGAAAGAAGTTTGCGACCTAGTCCAAGGTCAGGTCACTGGCATTCGTTCCAAGGGTGGTGTTGTGTCAGGCATCGTGCTGGTTGGTGGTTTCGGGCAGAGCGACTACCTATACCGCAAGCTCAAGACACACTTCACCAGTGCGGCACCACCTCCGTACACCGAAAGGCCAACACACGGCAGTGTAACTGCGCTGCAGGAGACGAGCTCGATCGAGGTCATGCAGCCAGTGTACGCCTGGACAGCCGTCGTGCGCGGAGCGGTGCTGCGAGGACTCGAGGGCAACATGGTGATTTCGCGCAAGGCGCGGTACCACTACGGCACATCGTACGCAACCGTGTACGACGAGGAGAAACACTCGGTCAGTGAGCGGTACTGGTCGCCGCTATGGGAACGGTGGATGGTGTCGGACCGCATGCAGTGGCACATTGCAAAGGTGACTTTGGACCTCTGTCCTTTGCTTGGCTTCAGGAGACAAATACTGACCCGGTCCTTCTCAAACAGGGAGAGGCAATATCCCCGTTATCGCCAATCGCATTCCATTATACTCGAAACTTCAGGCCCGGGCAGTCGCTGCTGGTGACGGACGACCTCATTGCATGCGAAGCAGACGAGCCGCCTGCTGCCTACACCCGCGATCTAATCCATGTGTGCACGTTGACGACCGACCTCAATGCCGTGCCGAGGAGCCTATTCACACGATTGACGACAACGCGTGGCGTGGAGTTTGACAACCTTGACTTCACGCTCGAAATGATCGTCGACAGCGCCGGTCTAGGATTTGAACTAAAGGTGGACGGTGTCAGGTACGGACGTGTCGATGCCGAGTTCCATTGAGCAATGGACGAACCATGGAGAGGTATCCGTGGACCGCGACGAAAGGACGGGGCGTGAACAGAGGAAAACCTGGGCAACGGCAGAGGCAAGGGTTCTCAAATAGGGATTTTGGCCTACGAAATGAGTACGGGAGGGCAATCCATCTTGTGGTCCTCCTCGGTATCTCGTCATACATATACTCATAGTTCGCGAGGATCCAGTCCCGAGAACACAACTCACTTTTTGTATCCCGCCAAGCAAGACAACAGTTTGCGCCACAGGGTTGACGCGTCCAATACGTGCATAATGGGGCAGGGTTCCTGTCTAGTTGCGGGTGACAAGCGTTCCCGAATGGGGGGTTTGGATTTATAACAAAGTTGCGGCATTGATACACTCGGTCTGGGGCGAGGCGATGTTCGAGTGAGGCGTACCGCGGTTAGCCCCGCATATTCATTCAGGTGGGAGTTCCGCTCCAACGGTCATCTCGAATATTTGTATCAAGGTAATATATGACAATGTCTCGCCCTTCAACTTTCTTCTTCTGCATGTCGAAAACTACATTTCCGGCCCATCCACCTGACACAACACGAGGATATGTGACCCTGTCAAGAACCAAGATTCCTCATTGCCTCTGTCTGTTTCCCCTACAAGAGAATATGACGGAGACGCCGGCACATCGTCGTTCCAAAAATATCGCCGTACAAGCCGAAGTGAGGCTGTGCAACGGCGCGTCTGAGTGGTTCAAAAAAATACGTGTCCTCAAGACTTTTCTAATTGCCTACCTTATGTCAGGTTGTTGTTTTTTGCCACACCACACAGCCCTGCTTTCAAAAGTGACCGATGGCGAAACGACGAATGCCTTGAAATTTCATTTGACGCAATCACGTTGGTTCACGCAGCTCGCTATTGGCTCAACGGGCCGAATTGGGTAAAAGTCGTGAGGCGGAGGGCTGGCTGGAGTGGTTGCCTCGTGTCCGCGGCGATTCAACATTTTTTTGATACAAGACGGGATGTGGGAGGCCCGCTCACTTACAGAATTGATAAAGATGCAGACCTTTCAATACTTCACCACTTATACTTACAAACTATGGTAATAGGGAGAGTTTCATTCAAGGAGAAACAGAAATGGCGTGAAATGTAAGCCAAATGCAGATTATGTAACATCTTGTGCCTAGTTTCATTCTGTAGTTCGTCCGCTTTTACTACTGCTGCTCCATGTTGCTGACTGCCTCGGAGTGGGGGAGCGTTCTGTTCCTTCCCTATTCGAAACCAAAAGCATGAAACGAAGCCTAAAGGAGCAGCCCCTGCATTCAAGTTGGGTAAGAACGAGGAGTGCCCTCATCGATGACCTGACAGTCTTGTGGGTTGTAGCTGCCTGGAGAAAGGATGATGAGACACGTCTACTTCCCTCTTCCGCTTAACAGCCTATCATCAGATAAACTCTTCCTTCGCACAGCTGCAAAAGAATCATAAGACCATGCAAAATCACAAAAGGCCAATTCCAACAGAAACTCTCACAAAAAGTCCTCAAAAGAACAGCCAACGTCGAGCCACCAGAGGCCCGCGAGACACCTAGAGAGAGGACGATCCTTCTAGGAGACCGAGAGACACTGACACTACCCGACTTGGTCAGCCGCCCACTTGGGCCGCCATCTTGCTCACCAGCTCGAGCTGGTGGCCAGGTGACCACAGAGTCTGCCTCGCATCTGGCGCCCAGCCTCGCACATGTCCTCGGACTCGCGTATACAAAGACAGGAGGGGTTCCCTCGGGGTAGTATGGCACCATCTGCGGGTTCCTGCAGTACACAGCCTTCAGCAAGATGAACAACCTTTGTGCAGAGTTTCCGACTAACCCGATATTAGGAAACCTTACAAATAGATGAGAAAATCAGATGAACGGTCGTAACCGTATCCGTTGGTGGCAAAGACTAATCGGAAAATCTGCCGCTCTCCCCGGCCCATGATCGACACCGTCGCCTCGGCCCGCTCCGGTATTCAAGCGCCAGCCACCCACATCTCCGGAATCCCCGAGCGTTTGTAGGGACGACACTACATCAACAACTTTACTACGGCCGTGCTTGATCGTCATCAGCGACGCCTCCCTTGGTTCCGTCTTCTTCTTCCATTTCCCGCAACAATCACGTCTGCCTCTTCTCTGGGCGGCCTCCAACCTGATGGATACACATTCTGAGTACGAGGGCCTTCACTGGCACTAATGGCTTGTTGGAAGCTCTGAGGAGTGATCCTGTTATAATGATACAAGTGTTCGAGGAGGCTGAAGTCGGGTCGTCTTTGTTCGAATCGATATGCATCATGAAGCATATGGTGAGCGATATGTCTCATCCTCTGGCTCCAGTTCTCGCCAGGATCAGGACAACGTTGGCTCACTTTGAAGTTGAAGTCGTCACAAAACCAGCACACGCATACTGCAGGATAAGCACCTCGTAGGTGAATGTCCTCGGTGTGTCTGATCCACGAGTCGACGTCATCGAGTCTGAACTGCTCTCGGCAACCAGTCCAGGGTTGGAACTCGCAGTAGAGCATGTTATTGCTAGGCGGTGGAGCAATCTGTTGCTGCACGATGCCCTGGTGAAAGGTGCTTATTGCGGAGTACTGTGACGGAGCTGGAGTATCGGAGTAGGCTTGAGGCATCCCGAATTCGTCGTATGGCATCAGACCACCCGCCGAATGAGTGTAGTGGCTCTGGCTGCCATAACTGCTCCCAGATACCTGTGACGCTGACGAAGAGCTCGCATAGGAAGACACGCTAGGAGTATATCGAGGAGTACTGTTCCAAGAACCGGGCTGGGAGTACCCAGACCACGAAGACGAATGGTATGGGTCATCGTGACCTTGTCCGTTGGATGACATCTTGCGCAAAGGGTACTGATACCAAACAAGAAGTGCGGAGCACCTGCAACAAGACTTTGGGAAATGACTGGATGTTTGAACGATTGAAAAGGGTGGAAGCAAGTCGCAAATGGGAACCCGCGGGTTTATTCCCAGCAAATGAAAGAGTTGCGGAGCAAGATCGAGAAGTCGAAGTTGAAAGGCGATAGACGCTACAGAGAGGCAGAAAGCTGACGGACGACCTGGGTAGGTGGAGACGGTGTACTGCTAACAGCAGAGGCAGGACTGAGTGGGCGGTTGGTAGTCGCAGGTTGCTCTGCAGCTTAGTGACCTGCACTTCGATCTTTCGAGGAAAGACCGTACTACCCAACAACGACGAGAATGCAAAAGTGGAAAGATACAGTATCCGCGTAGGGATGGACGGATATTTGAGGCAGGGAAGTTAGGTATGCTGAAGCTGTGAGCAATGGGATGGAAAGAGCTCAACCTCTTTGCTTTATTTCTCACGCATCGGGGACGCGTCAGATCTTATACGATCATGTTGTTCTTACATGCACACGGTTGCTCGGGTATGGCACCCTCTCGACGGCACTCCATGCGAACCATGGCCGCCGGCGGCACGAGCCCACACACGTCCGAGACGGATAGATACAGCTCTCCACACCAATGCCAGTATCATTCCCTCCAACCGATCCCATTTCGTCAACCGACGAGTGGACCACAGAAGAACCATGTCAGAAAATGTCCTAAGTGGCATTGAGGCAGACATCTTTCCTTCGCGAGGAGGTTCGTCCTGAAAGGAGTCTGTTTCCGACGTCGTGTTCCGCCGCGCAAAAGATCGACGATCGTTTCAACGGAAGCGTAGAACCGGAGGTGGTGTCCGATCGTATGCGCCTGTGGCAGCTCCAGCTCCGTAGGGCTATCATCATTGAGTGCAATGAACCTTGGGCTTGCAGCGCAATGTCGTACGAGACCGATTTACGTCGATTTGGCCTACAGCTCAAATGTCCGGTCTCTGTATTTCTCTGGATACAATGGCGACAGCCACCCACTGTAAGCTGTCCACGTGTACGGCAGCGGCGTTATGAATCGAGAGGGGAGCGGGGGGCGCCTTCGCAGACAAGGTTGCCAGAGCAAGCGAGTGCTGTACAGCGTGCTGCAGTAACACGGCGGAAATGCCGGGAGTAGCCTGCATTACGAGCGAGTCTTGTACCTCAACAAGAGCTCTAGCAATCTACTCAGAAAGGGGCAAGTTGACTTTCTTTTGCAGAAACAGTAACGCTGAAGCAGCAGTTTCGAGTTACAAAGATGGTCTGCTGCGTCAAGGGATGTGCCCCGAATACATCGATTTGTGCGGGACAGCATCGACATGAAGTCAACTTGCCATTGGGGGCGAAATCTCGATAATGCAGCGAATGCGGCACGACGCATGGAAAGCAAGGGCATACAGCACGACTGCATCGAGTGTCGAACCGTGCTGGAGGAAGGGCGGGGAATCCACTTGACCCGGAGAGAATCTTGCCCCGATAGCTCGCAGAGCCTCAATCCTTCTATCCTGCCAGCCCAAACTTTGTCTCTCTGTTCGGCAAGATCAAGTTGACTCCGCAGGTTGATTTGATGGATTCCGTATCCGTAGGAGAGAGAGGGGGGAAGGAAGGGAAGAGAGAAACGGAACCCCGCTCTTCTCACCCACCCCGGCCGACCAAGCTGCAGGACTGCTCGCCAGACTCCAAAGGGCTGCATGTCTCAAGGGTGGTAGTAAGTGGGCATGGGATTGCAGTGAACGCGATCTCTCGATTGGCCGACGTCACGACTTTGACGGCGTCGCCGAGTTCAACATTGAATCCTCTTCGTTCGGTAGTTCTCGATGCAAGCAAGCAAGCTACTGATGGGAAGCTTCCATGACGTCTGAGATGGAACCAACTTACACAGTGTCGCAATAAGGCTCGGTTGAGCCCTCCCGTCCGCGCCGCGCGGGGCTTCGTTTGTCGTCTGCAGGCTCTTCGTGTGGACGGGCCGCCGGCGATGGCTGACGAAGGGGAATAAGCATTGATAAGTGACGCTACAAAACGAGGTAATGTGCAAATCTTACTTGCGTCCATGGTTTGATAGGGGTTCAGCGTCATCAGAAAAGGTGAATCATGGATGAATATGGGGTACATGTGATATTGATACACTCAGGCGGGCGTCAGAACAAAGGGGCGCAAGGCAACCGTCAATATTCGACGACGGGCGGAGCGACGGCAGAAGTAGTGAAAGCACCAGAATCGTGTCTTATTCGGGACTACATAGTACCCTAGCCTTGGCAATGACATTCTGATACTGCATGTGGCCCCCGTTCTCGTCCCCGCGCTTGATGATGCCGGGGAACGTGACGCACGCGATATCGCGCTGCGACAGCGCCTCCTCGTCCTCGCCGCCGATATCCTCCATGGTGGCGGCGTCGAAGCTCGTCTGCTGGTGCGGGACAATGTCGGGCATATGGACCCGGAAGACGGCCTTTTGCACAGCGAGCTGCCGCGCGAGGTCCGCGGCGCTGCCGACTAGGGCGCGGAGACCCGCGTCGCGGGGGTTGGTGGTCTCTCCAGTAGCTGGTGGGGCCGGGGTTGCGTCCGTGACGGCGTCGAGGATGCGGTTTACGCGGGCGATGACGCGGTCCGTTGCTGCCAATGTCTCGGCTTGCATTTTGGAGTCGGCTTCACGCTGGAGAAGAGCGAGTGTCGTGGAGCGCCAGTTGTTGATTGCTTCTGCGGAGTCGACTGTATGCGGTGTTAAGTAGCTGGCCATTTTTATCTCTTTCCCTCCTTTCCTCACAGGAATCAGGGGTTAAGGGGTAAGAAAAACGAAGAAACATCAAGAGTATCACTCACCATAGCCTGAGAGGGTCTGCTCCACGGCCTTGAGCTGCTCGGCCTGCTCCTTGGGGAGGCCGAAGAAGTACGAGTTGAAGATCGTGTCGACGAGCACGCGCGAGACGACTGACTGCAGCATGTGGACCTTTGCCGATGACTCGAGGTCGGCATACATGGGTACCAGCTGGCCGAGCTCCTCGAGGACGTCGTCGCTCGCTGCAGCAAAGTCTGTCATGTTTGTTAGTCTACATTGTACTCTCTGGACTTCTCTAAGGTGCATTCCAGGTTTTCGTCCGAGGAGTTTTGAACAGAGAGACGTAAGAAGAGAAACGTACCCAACTTTGACCTCCGAAAGTTGACAATAACCCAATTCTGCAACCCGTTACTCAACCTCGCCATGCCGTCGCAAAACACCTCATCAGAAGTCTGCCCGCTCGTCCGCGTGCTCGTGCTCACAAACTCCTTGAGCCCGCGCACCTGCACCCGCAACTCGCTGACCTCGCGCCGCAAGGCATCGCGGTCGGCGTCCCGGGCCTCGGACTCTTGCCTGAGGAGCCGCAGGTCGGCGTCGGCGCGGAGGAACTGCTGGTTGACGTCGCTGTGCTTCGCCTGCCAGAAGACGGCCGTCTCGCTTTCGTTTTGCGAGAGCTTGTCAAGCTCTTTGGTGAACTCGCGTTCCATGATTTCGAGCTCGCGCTCAAGGTGCGCTATGCGCGCGTCCTTGATTTGGGACGAGGAGGAGGAGGAGGAGGTGCCCCCGCTGTGGCCGTGGGCTGCGGTGCCGGCAGCGTTGCTGTTACTGCTGGCCCCGCCAGAGGCTTCTTTATGTCTTGACTCCTTGTCCTTAGCATCTTTGCTGCTACTCGACGCCGTGGCCGCCGTTACGCCGTCCTCGGGGTTCGGACTTGCGGAGGAGGAGTTCGCGGGGCCGTGGTGGGCGCGGGGAGGCGGGGCGATGATGTTCGCGGCGCTGGTGCGCGGGTTCGAAGTGTGCAGGACGTGGTGGGCGTCGGACGATCCGCCTCCGCCGTGCTGGGACGACGAGGACGACGGCTTGGCCGAAGACGAGGAGGGTCCGCCGGCGGCGTTACTATTCGAGGCGCTGCTGCTTCCACCACTGCTGTTGTGTTCCTTGTTGTTGCTACTGCTGCTGCCGCCTGGAATGAAGGAGCGGCGCTTCTCCGCCGGTGTCGTGGACATCCGGCCGAGCTTTTTATCTTTCGTCATGTGGACGGCGGGGGAGGGGCATGCGACTGGCTTGGTACTGCATGATGGGGAGGTAAGACGATGAGTTTGGGGCGTGGCGGAATTTCGCTTATTCTTCTAACCCGCTCGCGATGATGGGGAGATCTGACGGGCCCTTTCGAGTTCTTCCGGTCTGGCCCTTCTTTTTCTCCCCTTGGTTTTTCCCGCCAAAGCCGACCTTCCCCCTCGCTGATGACAGGTCTTGGGCGTGCGTACGCAGCTTTGGAAGGGGAATAGATTGGCGAGAGAAGTACGAAGTGGCGTTCGCTGGCTGCCTGGATCTTGGCCTCTAGGCGAGGGGCAAACACACAAGCGGAAAACGAAGCTTCTGGAGAGCTGTTTGATCGGATGTCGTCAAACAGAGGGACGTCGAGGCACGGCAAGGCGAGCCGAGACAATTAAGGTAGCCTTCCCGTGGAAGCTGGGTTGGGGACGTCGTCGCAAGTCGGGCCTTTCAGGATGTTAGGTCGACATTGGGGGCCGGCGAGGGTCCCTTCTGTCATTGGGAAGAAGGGGGGTCCCATAGGTCCCCGCCGGAGCGGTATTTTTAGCGGCCCGGCGCTTGTGGCCGCGCTCGGGGCTGAACCGTGGGGGCTGTGCGGTGCGGTGCGGTGCTTCTTCGGCTGCCAGGGGGCCCTGGGATATGATGAGCGCGTTTGTATAGCAACATAGGCTTGTCACTGGAGTGTCAAGCATAATTTGTTATGCGAACCTTTGGGTCATATTTTCCTACACTATACCAACTGTTCACATCATGTAACTCTCTCCGGCCTGTCTATGCTGCCAAGTCTCCATAGTCAATCGTCTTCGGCGATGGATCACTTCTTCCTAGCGATGCCTTCAACATCGTTGTCTTGAGACTGTCACAAAAATCCGCAAACATCAAGGTTCTGGTCTGCTCCGAGTAGGGACACCTCAGGCATCGTAGAAACTCGTAGGTCTATGAACGAGTCGCTTAATCGACCCAGGCTGCTGGATAAAACTAGAAGTCGATCTCAGCCTCGACCTCGTACGCTTCGTCATCTGTTCCCTCAATTTTCTTGGCCCCCATACGACATATAGCAATCTTTTCCAGGGGCACATCCTCCATCCAGACGTAGTCGTCATATCGATCAAGTATATCCCTTGCGTCGATGGTCAACTTCGGACCCTTCTTGCTCCAGCCGCCCTTGACGTAGATCGTGTTGACAATGGTGGCGTGCAGCAACAAGCCCCGGGCATCCTTCTCCATGACTCCGGCCTCTTCGAACGTAGCTCTGATTCTCTCGCAGAATGTCTGGAAACCACCTTCGCCATATGCGGGCGGCGCGTATAGAACCGATGCCTTGCTGGGATCCGCTCGAGGGCCCGACTTCATGCAGTGTAAGCCGCGGAGCGTTATTTGGAGCGGCGAGTCGGTTCCGGGAGCGCTAGTGGACGACTGCGCTTTGCCGGCTAAAGGGGTCTCGGTGGACAGAGGCGTGATGTCGGCCAGTATATCTCGCGGTTTCAGGTTCTTGAGCACCTCGGTTGCTTTGCTAATGCCCTCGTCCTTGGTCAGACTCATGATTCCAAGAGTGAGGTGCAGAGTGCCGAGCGGCCGCACGGCGTCTGTAGGAATTGCGAAGCTGTCTGGGCTGGTCACATCTGCTCTGAAGGAGGCTAAGCTCTTTGACAGCTGGGGTCTTGAGGCTGGGGTGACCAAAGGTATGCACAGAAAGTGTGTAGGCGAAGGCCTGGCGTTTGGTCGAGGGGGCATGGTGGATGGTTCGAAGAAAGGGGGGCAAGTCGATGAAGTCTTGATGCTCCGTTGCGTACGGTCAAGTGTAGTCTTCCAGATCCGGCAGGCTTCGTCACCTACAAGAAAAAGACGGTCTGGTAGTGAAGACTATATCCAGGAAGCTTTCAGGTGTTCTGATGAGCTGGTAAAATCTGCGATCCACGTTAGAGCTTAGTTCCTGAATGGTCCCGCGAACGGAGTCAACAAGCAGTCAAACAGCGTGGTCCTGTCAGGCCGGCTCGAGGACCGGTGTAACGAGGAAACCCTGTCAAAGACCCGTTGGTCGCGTGACAGTAAAGACAATCCGATCTATCGTTGATTTGATCTCCGATGGTGGTGAGATGGGCTTGAGAATGGAAGGACTTGGGACGGAGCGCGTGGGAGGCATTTCCAGCAGAACCCGCACCGTCACAGGGCTCGCGGGCTCAGGATGCTCCCCAGTGCCACAAGAAGAACATGCAGACGTACCTGGTTTGAGCTATGGCGTCAATTTGTCGATCTCTGAGCCTGGACTTCGTCACTCCTCGCAATGATGTCAGTCGGTCAAGGCTGAAAGGTAAGTGGGTGACATAATCGTGTGCCGCTTTATAGGCACCCTAACTAGCTCTCTACCTACTATCACTTTAATTATCCCTTTGGAAGAGTATTCTGTAATAAAATTGAGATAAAAGTGACAAGCGGAAATGATAAAAATGTAGCAAACCAGAAAGTGAGGAATAATAAGCAGGTAAGTAAGCATTATAATCTTTCGTTAACTAGCATCCTCTTTTGTCACCCACTTGAAAGGGTACACTCGGGTAGAATTTTGATGGGTTCCCCGCTGCCCGCACCAAGAATGGAATCCTGCTTGTCAGCCCGTCTGCCAGCCCCGGAGCAAAAACCATCGCTACGAGGACTGGGAGGAAGTGCTACAGACTTGACACCATCCATCCGAGAAAACTGCGCGTGTAGGTTTTGTTCGAGTTGAAGAGAGGGAAATCGTCTCTGAGGAATGAGAAGATTTAATTCACAGAGCGGCTTTTGTCGCCGTTACTCGCGTTGGATCGGCAGCTCTGTACCGCAAAGACGTCTCGGTATCAGCTCTTTACAAACGAACGCAGGTAATGCTATTGTCCGTCTATCCAGTGGAGATGGTAAAGACCGTGAGAGCATGCTGTTGATTTAGGACTATGGCAGGCGTAAATGGGGGAGCCCATGGCACGAGCCTTCGGAACCTTTCCTTCGTCTCAGTTGGTTGACTGCTTCAGCCGTCCAGCTATTCAACTCGGCTTTCCCCTTTAAAAACAAAAAAGGGTCTCCCATTCAAAGCCAATCCAGGTCACCATGCCAAAATGCCAATTTTCTTCGTGAATCAAATTCGTAAGCGTAGAGAAGGGGGTATGAGGAGAAATGGGTTCGTAAGCAAAGTGTCAAAGGGCCAAGGTACTGGAAGAGCAGCGCAGCCCCCTCGAGGGGTGTTGAGCATCCTCCGTCGTGGCCCACGTCCTTCTTGTCGTCACAGCCATCGTTTCTAATGCTGGGCGACAGAACGGCTGGTGCAAAGACACGGAGCGGCGGCATTGGCCAGAAGTCGTCGATGGCGGCTTTTAGTCTTCTTCTTCTTCTTCTTCTTCGGTGCCGAAGAACTTCTTCAAAAGCTTCTCGGCGTCCTCGTACTCCGTCTTGAGGTCCTTGAGCGTCTTCTCAATGCGCTCCAAGCACAGCTTCTCGTCCGGCTCTGCGGTTCCATCCTCGTTTTCCTTCTTGCCGTAACGTTGAATCTTTTCGCAGCTGTCTCTAACCTTGACGAGTCCCAACGTGGCCGAAGAGCCTTTGAGGAAGTGGCCGAGCGATGACAGCTTCTCGAGATCCTTCTCCTCTCTATGAAGTTGAGTAAGAACTCAAAGTCAGCATTGTCCACAGCCAGTGCAATCGATACTTGTGCCAGACCCCCAGAAAAAGAGTTTCCTTCTGTTACTGAGGGTACTTCAGGGGTGAGGGGGGGGAAGAGGGCAGGAGAGGAGAGCGGAGAGGGGCGCCAGCAAGGCAGAGTGGGGGTAATGATGATGATGATGGTGATGATGATGATGCGACTCACAAGGCCTCGTCCATCTGCTCAAAGGTCTCTTCTGCTTGCTCGAAGAAGCCAAAAACGATTGACTGGCTGAAGTCGCGATCATTCTCGTCCTCATCCATCTCCAGGATCTGACCGAAGGTGACTGAGTCAATCGCATCGCCAAAGTCGGGGGTACTGAGGGGACCATCGTCGCTCTGTGTGCAAAACACCCCACGTTAGCCCAGCCCTTGTGGCCCGAAACACATCACCACAAAAGCATCACATGAGAGTAAAACTCAATCACATACCTTGTCTTCTGAAGCAGGCATTTTGACGGTTGAGTATGCGGTTTGTTAGAGTTGTTGTGTGTTTATGTAGCGTAAGTGGGCGTGAAGGCAGGGCGGATAAAGGCGTGGTTTGAAGTGGTATTGGCTAAGGGCGCTCGAGATGAGAGGACGGTGTATGATTGGCGACGGCAGGTAGGCACAGGAAGAGAGGAGAGAGGCTACTGAAGCGAAGATTTTGGTTAGAAAGACAACGAACCAACGCAAGACAGCAAAGCAAATGTCCAGTCAGGCGGTGGTGGATCCCACGATGTATGATGGAGTGTGTGGACTGTGGAACAAAGGCTTCGGATTCTTTGCGACCGGTTCTTGGGGATAGGCTGGAGGCATCTGGATTGCCCTGTGTAAGGATGGGGAGAGTGGCCAAGGTGCCAGCCCGTACAGTTGCCGCCGTTGGTGCTTCCGCCGCCAGCGCCAGCAGTGCGGTGCTGCAGGTGTGATGATGGTGAAGGGGAGATATACCGCAACCGCAGGGAGCATGCAGCTCAGGGTGGATATTCGGGATAGATGAGGTAGGAAGGGGTTGGTGTTCGTGGGCAGCAGAACCGGACACACACAAGACAAATAACTTACAAAGAGGTAGAGATATGGAGACCGCGGGCTCAGGTCTGAGAGGACGACGAGGTGTTTTCCGAACTAGAATGAGAAAGGGTAAGCTATCGGGTCCGATTATGGTTGGGCGCGCATATAATAAGACGTCGGGAAGAGCTGGTTGGTGGTGTAAAAGAGGCAGGCAACGAAGCAGGTAGGGCTTCCGAGGTGTCTAATAATTTTTCGGCGGGGGATGCAGTAAGTGGATGTGGGTAGGTGGGCTTTTTTTTTTTGGAGGGGAAGACCGCGCGTGGTGGGGTTGCGGTGCGGTGCTGGTGCTGGTGACCGCAAAGTACCCGGCTCCAAGTACCTCGACCTTCAAGGTTAAGTAGGTACCTTACCTTACCTTAGGTAAGGCAAGGTAAGGAAGAGGGACGAATTGCACATACCGGTGACAGGATCAAGCGCCAGAGAAGACACTTGCTTCACGACGAAAGATAGGAAGAAAGATCAAGGACTGATTGGTTCGTCTCTTCTTTCCTACACCTGTGTGGAATAAGGCAGAGGGAAGAAAGAAAGAAGCCGAAGTGACGCTATGTCGTAGGTGTTCAAAGTCGAAGCCGCGGGTTTGATGAGACAACGGATGATGAGGCCCGACGAATGGCAGGATGTCGTGAATTGAAGCCGGTGGCCACACACACCGGCAAGACGGAGGCTGCTCTGATGGGTATGCTCTCGTACCTTCACTGCCGTCGGTAGGGACGACTCGAGGTGAACTGACCGAAGGTGAAGACGGGCCGGTGTAAGACCCGTTGAATGCTTGATGATGTATGAAGGGTTAGAGATGAACAATAGGTCACCAGACTCTGGGGGAGGTAAGGTGAGATGAGGTGAGGTAAGTTGTTGTAAGGAAGTACAACTCAGGTACCTGAGCTTTAAGAGACGCGGCACGGCCAGGTGAGGTGAGCTAAGTAAGGTAGTAAGGTAGTAAAGCAGGGCAAGACAGGGAAGGTGATGATGGCCTAAGGGCGACGATGAAAAGCGGAAGGCGTGACGGCTGGGGGCAGGCAGGGCGTGGACGACCAGGGCGGCAGGACCAAAAGAGAGAAGGAGAGAAGGAGCAGGAGGGGTGATGGTGGTGGTGGAGGAGAAGGTCCCCTCTTAGTATCTCAAAAAGGGAAAGGGCGAATCTGGAACTGATCTCTAGTGCAATTATGGTTGGGAAGATGGGGACTTTCACTTGAGGGGCCCCTTGGTGGGAACCCTTTACCAGAGTCAGGCCTTGACGACAGCGAACAGAGAGGACAAGAGAGCACTGAGTGAAAAGCAAGGCAAATGGAGTACCTTGGGACCGGACGAGCAGGCCTCGGAGCCTTGAACCAGTGAAGCGAGCGCCACTACTGCCCTGGAATCTCTCGCGGGAGCTGTCGCTGTGGTGGAGGGCCACGCCCAAAGGTACCTGGCTGCGCGGGAGGGTCGATGGAGGGGTGACGATGGAGGGGGAGGGGAGCCAGGAGCCAGGGTTGCCGAAAAAAAAAAAAGACAGGGTCAAGCGAGGATACGGCGGCGGGATTGGGCCGCTCTTTCGTCTTTTCCTGCAGGGCCTTCGTCCGGGAATGCCACCTTATTGTTATGTGCGTCGGCGAAAATGTGTCTTGTGAATATGTAAGGAGAGTGAGATTGCGAGAGGCTGCCGGACGGAGGAGACGGCGGCGGCGGCGGCGACGAGGGGGGGGGGGTGTAGAATATTGGAACTTTTTGACTGCGACTGTTCGGACCGGTAACAAACAGTAAACAGGAGGAAGGAAGTATCTTATCCGTAAGGTCAGAGGAGAGGGGATGATGGCAAGATGGATGGAAGACACGCCAGCTCGGAGATGGAGGGAGATATGCTGCCTGCCTTTGACATGAACAGTCGCAACGACCCGATGCACTGGGATGGCTTGGATTGGTTCTTACTGCGTACCTTAGGAACTATAGCTACCATGGATTAGATGTTCTTGTCCGTCACACGCAGCTGAGCTTTGGCGGATAGGATGCAATGGAAAGCATGCAGAGTGGAAAAGAAGGAAATAAAACTGGAGGCTCGGGCAATGACAACCGGGAGACAGGCGGCTGGAATCTCCACTAAACGCGGTCTAGACGTGTCTACCTGACCTCATACCTGACAATGAAACTAATTGAATCGTCGCCAGAGTTGCATCATCAGGGCCAACCAGTCAATGTACCTTCAACGTACCTTGTCATACCTTACCTTACTGACATGCCTTGCCTCACCTTACATTGCACACCTCAGGTAAGTTAAGGTACCTTACAGTGCTGACTAGCTCCAGACAATGAAAGACTGGACGTGGAAGCAACAAAAGTCAAGCAACTTCCGTTGCCTCTCCAGGTAGAAGCCTGAGGTGAAGTCTCATGCAGGGCGGGTAGCTAAGGTTAGAAGGCGGTACTTCTGCAGGGCGACCTGCTCCTGCCGGGAAGAACCTCCAAGCCAACGGGCACGCGGCAAGCATCCCCTTACGTACGGGGCGCTCCTTCCCCAAAGAACAAAGAGCACTCTGAGCATTGCCAGACTGAGGAAACCGCCAACTTCTCCATTAAACTTTGCTTGAGTCGTTCTTGGGCACCGCACACCTCACTGAAAAGAGCTTCGTTACGTATCCAGTACCGAGCAGCTTCCCATTGTAAGTTTTTACCACGACGTTCATACCGACCCGTCTCGCGACTGTAGGCCCGCCTTGTAAGACGTCTATCAAGCTCGGTCATCTATCAATAGACGACCACCTTTCCTCCATGTGATCTTGGTTTGGAATATTTATTCTCTCGCAGGCTTTCCACTCAATCCTCTTTGAACCCCCCTGGTTCTCTTACCATGGGTCTCGCACACCTCTTTGCAATCCATGCCTCCAATTCGTTCCCACACGAGGGAATATCCTCCGTCTACACGCCACCAAACAACCCTACTTCGGTTCCATGGAGGTCAGACAACTGCAATATTCAGCCTTGAGCCACTGATTTCGAGTACATTCTAGGCAGTACTGCGCCATGGCCTGACGGACACGCATTTCTCGTGCTAGTAGCTCTCATCCCTTTCTTCGACATGCCTCTGGACCAAGAACCACCGGTCATGGGTTGTGGATCTTCCAAGCTATGGTCACAGTACAAGACTCACAAGTATCAACACGAATTACCCTTCCTCGAGTCGATTCCTTGCACACTACCGCTGCCGGTTGCTATTTCACTCCGACGATGCAAGACTGTCGCCCTCCATTTGCCAGTTTAACGCGGTCTCCTCTGACCCTCTGATTTTCGTGGAGAAGCAGGGATCGGCACCTTCCACTGGATTCATTCATTCTATATCCGCCATGCTGGACTGTTTCGCACAGTGTTGCCTGGTCTATAATTCGTATTCTTGGGTGTACCTTCATCCAAGAGTCGTGATTCTGGGTTGGACACCTTTGGCTCAGACGGCCTCTGCACTGCTCACATTTTTTTCTGATCAGCTCGGCCGTCACTTCTCTTCACTCCAGAACTTCTCTTCACTCCAGCCAACGACATCCTTACGACTATATGCGCTATATGCAGGGTCCTACACTGCTCTTCTTCAGCAAACTAGCCATAAGGCCTTGCACCGTTCGACAATCCGAGCCCTCAGCAGTGAGGCATCCGAAAACGCAGCCCTCTACTTCTGAGCGGACGATCCGACTTGCCAATGGTCCACTGCGTAATTCTGGGCTGACGAGCATCCAGTCAGATTTCCGCTGTGCAAAGTGCGTGTGACGATCCTTGGCTAATTTCCATTTCCTGTTACGCCAGCCGAGAAGGCCCCAAATCATGGATGGTGTGGCAAATTCGATGATAACACACTTTCAACACCACTATCGGATCTCACGACGAAGACATTCACCGCTCCGCACCGATGGGATGGCCTAAATAAGGCAGGAGGATTCAAGGCATACGCCAGGTCAGCGGCCGAAAATACTGATAGAAATGCTCAAGTAAAGAGGAACGCCGAGAGGTGGGGAGAAGGTTGGAATGCAGGGTCCATACCCGTGCAACTACTTTGACGATCTGTACCTGATCCAAGTCTCAAAGCTATGCTGACAATCCAGTCAATACCACTCCCTCCAACAAGGTGGCATGGAGCCCGGTGAGCAACGGTCCCACACCGCTGCAGAATCATCTCGGACACAGCCTGGTCGACAGAGGCTAGACTCTCTCGGCCGACAGTCGACACTCCACTTTGGCGTACTTTTTTCCCAGCGGGAGGAAAAGGATTTTCCTAATCTGTTTGGCCGGTTTAGAAGGTCCCGTCCGCCACAAGTCTGTGTTACTGGGATCCATTCATGTGGTTAAATGGTAGGGTGGAGCATCTGCATATGCACTCAGGTCTGGGGGCTGGAGCTGGGTTTCTGCCAGACGTCATACCGCGCTTGAACGTCATCGGTGGGTTA